AAGACATCCAAGAAAAATCAATATCAAATTTAGATCGGCGTAGCCCTGTAGATATTTTCTTATCGATCTTTATTTGCTTACATCCTACATTGAAACAAAAAGTATGTTTAAAAATGTTTGCATGTCATCTGGCGATACCAATAATTTTTCCCGTCAAAGAGCACAAACACAAGGAAACCATTTTAATGTTTTCGATGTGGCCTCTTCGGTCAATAACGGTTCACGATGGAAAAACAGATACAAGCATAGTAAACTGTAAACAAAATATTGTGTCATTTATAAGATTAGGACGTCCACAAATATCGAAATCAAAACTTGCAAATGAACTTTTGTATGGCACAGCTCACAATGCATTCTTCAATTACGATTGCATATTGGGTTCGAGTGAGAAACAAGCAAGTGTCGGGCTTGTTGAGGCTTCCTGGTTTTTACCTTCTCCAAAGCAACCTAGGAATTTGCAACGAGTTACAATATTTCTAAATCTAAGAGGCGATGCGTTAAACAATGCAGAGCAAACAGAATATTTGAAAAGTGTATCGCATGTCATGATAATAGTCACTGACAAAGAAACAATGAAAAACAAAAAAGATTTGGATTACTTTAAACGTGCTCATTTCAATGTGTTGTTTCTCCTTACAGGAGAAGTGTCAAAAGATTTTATAAGGAAGTATAAACAATATTACATGGACTCAAGTCCAGATGGTTTTAACGCCGAGTTTATTTCAGGATCCGAACATTGTAAAAACATCGGTTTATCAGAAGTTAAAGAAGCTATTGCAAATAAAATTGGACCATTGCTTAATGGCATGAGTTCTGCTAAAACTATACAGGAAATGTGTGAGCAAGCGAGAACGATGGGTATAACTGTAGATGAGGATATGCCCAAATACAAAAACGGAAGAAAAGCAGCAAATAAAATTTTTGACCAGGTAAAAGATTGTCCTCTTGCAGATATCAAGGTGAAATATACACCATTACAAAAAGAAAATTGGCAAATATATACTGATGTTATGAAATCATATCGCAAGCCAGGTTCTGATTTTCAAGAAAAAGCAAAGTTGGAGCAGAAAATGATATTACAACAAACAAAACAATGGGATAGTTTCAAGACTGGAAAACCATTTATTAAAGACTTCATATCAATACTTTTAACACTGGATGGTGACAGTTTGGTTTCTTTTTTAGACTCGTTAAAATTTGAGTTAGATGAAAAATCTAGAAGGGAAATGCCAAACTATCGCGAACGTTATGCAGCCGCATGGAATGCATGTCAATCCAAAGCAGAAGCTGATAAAGCTCGAGCCCAACAGGAAGTCAGTAAAGCTGAACAGCATCTCAGCGAAGCGTCGTTTGGTATCGAACATATTTTCCGTGAATTGGGTCAAATTTATGAGGCGAGTCTGATGGCAAATGACAAGGAGTTGTGTACGAACTTAGCCAAAGCAGTAGCAAGGTCAATTAAACTAGGCTGCCCGTTTGAGTTGATGGATGGTGATGTAGCAAATGTTTCACTGAAATGGGTAGAACGAGTCTTTGCAGAACTTCAACATATGCTAGGTGACAAAAGGTTACTCACATTGTCTATTCTTGGACTTCAAAGTTCAGGTAAATCAACATTACTTAACGCGATGTTCGGTCTGACATTTTCAGTAAGTGCAGGTCGATGTACCCGTGGTATTTATGTACAACTTTTTCCTGTACGAAAACAAAAGTTTAAATTCGACTATGTCCTTGTAGTCGACACAGAAGGATTACGGGCACCAGAACTGAGTGATCAGAAATATCAGCATGATAACGAACTAGCAACCTTAGTTTTAGGAATGGCAGACATAACCATTGTTAATATAAAGGGCGAAAATACCAGCGAAGTAAAAGACATTTTACAGATTTGCGTCCATGCATTCCTTCGATTAAAAATGGCAAACCAAAGTCTACAATTGCGCCAGTCATGCATTTTCATACATCAAAATGTTTCTGATGTTGGAGCTAAAGATTCTATGATACATGCAAGAAAAAAAATTGCCGAAACATTAGATAGAATGACACTGGAGGCGGCAGAGGAAGAATGCATCAGCGACATAAAATGTTTCAAAGACGTAATCAAATTTGATAGCAATCACCATGTATGGTACTTTTCAGATTTGTGGAAAGGGGATCCACCCATGGCCCCTGCTAATCCTGGATACAGTAGGGATGTCCGGCAAGTAAAATCTTTTATATTTGAAACACTGACTCAAAACAAGGATTCTTATCTGACAATTTCCGATAGCTTTGTTCACATAAAAGACTTATGGAACGGTATATTAGCAAATGATTTTATTTTCAGTTTTAGAAATAGTTTAGAAATAAGAGCATACAATGCACTGGAAATCATTTACCAGGATTTAATCTGGAAATTAGAGAGATATGCAAAACATCTTACAAACAGTGCCGAAATCGAAATGAAACAGTGTACTGCTGATTGTGAAACGGACATAGTCAAAGGTCGTGGAATAGATCAATATACAGGCCATATACACAATAAATATCCCGATGATTTCCAAAAAAAACAATCGGAACTGAAGGGAAATTTGAAGAATTATTTTAAAAAGGGTGACAAAAAAGATGAAATTACAAAATGGAAACACAGCAAACTTTTGGCATGGGACTTGTTTGCTGTAGAATGCCTGGGTAAGCTCAAAAGACAGCTAACGGATATTGAATCACACTGTAAAGTTGATTACGAAATGAATACCTCTCTTACAACCTTACAAAACGAAATTTACGACCAGGCAACAACCCTAGCTGAACATATGAAAGGTAAGCGACTTTCTCCCCAAGATATGGAGACAGGTTTCAATGAAATGTGGGATAAATGGATAAGGAAAATCTATGTTCAAGAAGAACACTGTATTGAAGTCAAAGTGGTATTGAAATCAATTTTATTCGCAACGTTCAACAAGCATCAGGATGTTGTCGAAACCGAGATAAAGAAGCATCCTCTTGGTCACCATCCATCATTCACAACCTTAGAAAACAGCCTGAACGACATTGGGTTTGATCACAATTACATCAGCGTAAAAACGACCTTTTTTAAACGCATGAAGAACGTTTTGCGATCCGGTTCAGAAATTGAATCTGAGATATATAATGAAGCTATCGACTTCACCAATATAATACTCAAAGACATAGATGTGATATTCAGAGATCTTAAAAAAAGGGAGTGGAAATTTGATGCGACGGAAATGAAAGAAATCCCTAAACGTATTATGCGACATATATATCGACACAACCATGATAAAAGCAAGACCTTTACACTTCTCGAACCTTACACAGTAACACTTTGTGTACATGTGTTTCGATACGCTCTCCCGTTGTTAGAAAGACTTGATTTAGAATACAGGAAAAAATATAGCATGAAAGCTAAATTGAGCAATCATAAAGCGCTCGCTTGGCGCCATTTTAAGGATGTTGTTGATGAAAAGTCAGCTACCTTGATTGCTTGTGACAAATTTTGTGAAATTATTCGGAATCATGTTGAGGAAAAAATTAAACGCTCTCTTCCAGATTTGCTATATGATCATATAGTTACGGATTCCATGAAAGCAAAGTATGTATTAATAAATCGTATTATGGAAGATCTTGTAAAGATAAACAAATTAAAAGCGTTCATGAGTTATATTCATGATCCTTACACTTATGCATTCGAATGGTTATCAGAATACATTGATAGTAAGTGTTTTGGACGTTCGGGAAACATGTATATGGATAAGGTATCGGCAGAACTGCAGACTACATTCGAAGTTATTAAAAAAAGTGTTGAAAAGAAATCGGCTTCGTGTTTACATGATTGGCTGATAAATGTACAAAGTGAGATGAAGAAGGGTATGGTATGGATTCAAATGGAGTCATTAGTTGTAGTTGAGAACCAAAAGATAACAGATTTAAACGATTTCATTGCAACTGTCAAAAGAAAACTTGAACAGGTGCGCTCAGAACTAAAAGGCAAGTTTCAAAGCGAGACAGAAACATCAATCAGATGGTATAATGATAAAACCCCTTACCGAATATCCATGGACAAACTCTGGGGTTGTAAAGCTGTTTGTCCTTTTTGTTCTGAGCCATGCCAATGGAATGATAAACATACGAGTAAACATTCGTGCATCCAGCATAGAGCAGGTGGCGTTTCAGGACGATACAGGAAAGACACAGATATACTTGTATTGGAGAGTTGCAGCTTTATGGTGCAGTCTGATTGTCAGTTTCACTGTTCTGCAAAATGTGAAGGAATATGTACTGGGCTTGGTGAAACTGACGAGTATCATACCTACAAAGCTTACCAAAAGTACTTTCCGGACTGGGATATTCATCCCTGTCCAGAAATTTCATCATCCAAATATTGGGCATGGGTTTTTTGCACCTATAACGAAGAACTTGCCAAGTATTATAATAAGAAAAAAGCCACAATCCCGCAATCGTGGAAAACATTAACCAAGGATGATGCAATCAGGAGTCTGAAAGAATTTACTTAAAAAAAGTAGTTCAATATGTCTCTTTGTACAGAATGGAAATCCCCATTATTGTGAATTTCAGTTCGAAGTGTAGTCTTTCTTAAATAATGTTTGATATCAAGCAAATCATTAACAATAAAGAATTCCGTGGTTATTTGTACAAAATGTCCTGATCATTGTCTTATAACCAGTAATACATATATACATTATAAAGTATTCATTATCAGAAGTATATGTAACACTACGTTTTCATATGAGCACTATTATATCGTTAAAATACATCATCACTATTTTATAGCATCACTGGTATATTACCACTAATTTACAGTTTTATTTTTCGTCAAAACTCGTCACGAATTTTTCATTTTAGCTCGCCAGAGGCTCGCTTAATTGAAAAATTCTTAAGACTCGTTTCATAAATCTCATATGAATTGGAAACTCATGTAAGATTCTATAGGTCTCATAAAAGTAATAAGTATAAGATAATCATCACTTTATATAATCACTAGTAAATATAGAGGCATGCACTTGCCTGTGATACACACTAACTACTTAATGAGAATGGATGGGATTCTGTTACTATTGAACCAAAGATGGAATAAAGATAACCGTGTATTTCTATGGTTTCATGTCACGCAAATATATTTAACGTCGGTTTTGTTTTCATAGATCACATATTGCTTTGATTGTTTGATTTCTAATAATATCGATATTTAACACAATAATGGTTTCAGTACGCGATTAATATAAGGGATTCATATTTTAATTTTCATATTTTCGAAATAAGAACCTGGATTTACAAATGCCTGTCAAATACGCAAGTAACTGTAGTTTGATAACCAATATCACTGTATCTGTCTACATTTGTCAGACATTCGTTTTGGTAATAAATACATAATCTAAATTATTTTCCGTTATACATGTAAAAGGTGTGTAGAAACGCTTAAAATCCTCAATATTGTCAATTTCGGCTCGAAATGAAACTGCCTTTTCACCATATAAAGAGAGAGCTTGGGTATGAGGATCACATCTGTCTTACAAAGACGTAATAGACGATATTTATGTTTATTATTTTTTCATATTATTCCTGACAAGTGATTGGCCAGAAGTGAATCACGTGTCCACCGATAAAAACCGATATTGACTTGGGGAGCGTGATTTTTGTTGAAGGATTGTTATTTCTAAAAATAGAATAATGACGTGTCTCCAAACGAACTTATCGTCCCGCTTCCGTAGCTTTTTGCTGTGTTTTTTCAGATTGCTAACATTACTGTTTTGAAAAAAACTGCGTCCTCTGTCAATATATCTTTTCTCGGGTCGATAAATCCAGGTATCGACCTCAGCCAAAGGCTATAATTGAATATTACTTTTTTACTATGAGTGTACAAACTAATACCTTTTTGTAAATGTGTGTATCGCTGAAAAATTATGTTTAATATAAGACAATTTTAAACATATTACAGAATGGTGTTGTTACTAGTATGTGTAATCTTTAGGATATATTATTACTGAACTATTATCCATCTTAAACATACAGAAGTATATATTACCACTATTAGTCTACTGTATGGGTCCGCCAGAGAAGACCAAGACGACAGAAAGCCTAGCGGTCAGTCTTGTGTAATTGCTTTATCGACCGCTACCACGTATATCAACGACCACAAGGATGTCGGGTGTTTTTATATTATCCATGTTATGTAATCAGTAATATATTTCATCAATAGTTTATTTTTTCACTAGATCAATATGTAAAACGGTTGCTTATTTGTTTTTAATAATTCGCATTGATACATGTATATGATCACAGATTTAAAACAATCAGCAATACATAATTGTTTGGATTCAAGACAACCAAGATTTGAACTCGTAAATGTGCAACATCGAATATTTTTCCGTTATTCTATTTGTTAGGAAATTATGTATTTTTGTTTCCTTTCGTAATAAAAAATACTGGTTTCTGTTTTCACTGTTTTTATTGTGAGGAAAGTATGAATGACTATCCCGATACAGAAAAGGATTATTTTTTAATTGACTGCTATCAGAGGTCAAAATAAAAACCAAGCTGACTTGTTTTTGTACATCTGAGTACATGTTTATATCTACATACCAAATCTGGTTACTTTTGGAGAAATAGTAAAGAAAACCAACCATGTCTGAGGTAAGGAGTCAAATCATACAATCGAAATAAGCTACTTTTCGTAAACTGCACTCCTCCATCTAAGATGTACCTGCATACGAAATCTGGTTAATCCTGATCAAAAAGTATAGAATATCTGCTCTGGACAATGTTTTTCCAAACGGTAATCAAGTATTAGAAATCAAAATGAACTTGCATACCAAATCTGATTACTAGGTAAAATAATATGATATGCACTGTACAAATCATTTCCAATGTCAAATGATAAGTCACAGTGACCTACTTCTCAAAGTTTGTCATCTCAGGATACGTCTATCAAATCTGGTTACTCTAGGTTAAAAAATATACAATGCAAATGTAGAAGCTATTCCCTGGACATACTATTTCAAAGGTTGAGGTCAAAGGTCGAACCATATGTCAAGTTGACCTACTTCTTGTACTCCCCACATTATATTACAAGATGTAACTGCATATTGAATCTAGAAACTCCTAAGTAAAAAGTTATAAAGATATGCCCCAGACATTTTTCTCCAAAGAATAAGGTCAGAGCTAAGACCATAGGTCGAACTGACCTACTTCTTGTATGCATACCATATCTGGTTACTTTAGGTGATTCGGTTTGGTACTCTTTGTTAAATAGCATGGAAGATATGCTCTGGACAATCTTTTTCGATTAGGTCAACGGTCAAACTACATGTTATAGTAATCTACTTCTTGTACAATGCACAGCACAATCTAAAGATGTACCTGCATACTAAATATGGATATACAAGGTGAAATAGTACAGGAGATATGCCTCGGACAAATGTTTTCAACGACTGAGGTCAAAGGTCAACTCATTGGTCACAGTAACCTACTTCTTGACCTAAGGACTCTGCCATCCCGAGAACTTCTTACATACAAAATCCGATTACTCCAGGTGATTAGTATAGAAAATATGCCCGGGACAATTTTGGAAATGACTTACTTCTTGTACTTTGTACGTTACCATTCCAAGATGTGCTTGCATATACCTAATCTGATTACACCAGGTACAATAGCATAGGAGATATGCCCTGGGCAAGTTGTTCAGGCTTATGGATGGACGCCAGGACTGATGGAGTATAATTACAATCAAAGGATAAACGTAACACATATATATCACAATCTCTGCTTTACTTTTATTGTGTAAGCATGGAGTCACACACAGATTATTAAAGCTGTGGTTTCACCAATATATAAACAATTGATGAACATCTTCTTCATAAATGTATTTAAAGAAATATCACCAAGAACAAAGTAAATATGTTTTAATGTATACTTATGTAATATATATATTCCTATATGAAACCATCTATACAGATCACAAACTAATCATATCAATCTTCTTTACTATCATACAGTGTATGTAAATAAATGTATATTGAACCTTCTTAAGGTGTTCAAAGCTATTCCGTCTATAACAAATTACAACATATTTTATTTAATAAAATCTGAGAATCTTGAAGTTCACATCTTCCTGTGATTTTCATTTTTATCAACTGATGATCACTTTGAATCTTTACAAGCTGGATAAACGTAGGAACAGCATTAACAAAATAATTAGATTCTG